GAGAGTCAGGGACTTTGTCAAGCAGATGTTGATTAAATTGGAAAACAGGGGTTATTATTCTGAAGTCATCAAATATGTCATTGCATTCTTTTCTGGTAAGCCGCTACCATAAGTAGTGAGAAATAATAGTTAACATTGCCATGCTTGTTCAGTTCTTGCTTTTACTTATATATTTCTAGACATATAAGACTAGTGACCATGTTATCGTCAACCATGCTTGATCTTCAAACCGATGACAGTTATCCAGCTTGTAGGCTTTCTCATTAAGGATTCTCCAGTACTACAGATTTTGTGGTCCATGCTTTCAAAACTGGTGTAAATACGAGTGCAAGCTGTCATCGATCGGCAAATTATATCTTGCTAACGCTCTGTTTCTAATTCCAGATGACAATCCTAACATGGGCAGTGGTCCATTAGTGCCACTAAAGGGCATTCCATGCAGCATTGCTGAAGGAATAAATGGGATTCCTAGTTCGAGTCGAACGGCAACATGGTTACCATCAGTTACCTTAGAAGGAGTCCCGTTCCTACAAAAAGCAGGTGTTGTTTCTACTGCTGGGAGCCAATCGATGTCTAGAAAAATAGCTGAAACTGGATTTCAGGCGGTCAATAATAAGCCAGTTTCTGATGAACTGGATGGTCTAGTGAGGTTAAAGCAGGCTGAAGCAAATATGTACCAGGAACGTGCCAATGAAGCACGTAAAGAAGCTGAGAGTCTGAAAAATATCGTGATGGTAAAATATGCACGCATTGAAGAACATTATGCTACTCAAATGTCTGAACTCCACATAAATGAGTCGCAAGAGAGGCGCAAGCAAAACATTGAAGAACTTCAAGTCATTGAAAGATCGTACCATCAATTTCTCAGCATGAAAACGAGGATGAAAGATAACATTAGGGAGTTATTATTGAAAATGGAGGCAACAAAACAGAATCTAAGCACATAAACGAGGTTACTGCCCGTGTTTAGTTGCAGATACCAAACTTGCTGAGCTTAGTGAAGGCAGACTCCATATTGTGTAAGTTATAAATCTTTCATGGTATATTCCCTTGATGATGCTGAGACTACCATACAGTAAGATTATTTATTCTCAAATGTTACCCAGTATCTTCCTTTCATAATACATTCAGTTTTTGAAGCTGACATATCTACACAAGTTTTACATGTTATCAGCTCCTATATTTTGTGCACCATTCACATTGGTAAAATTATGAACAATTAACTTTAGTTGTTGATGCTTATTTTTGAATAACTATTTACATGCATGGGTTCTGTTTTCCTGATGTAAGTTTCTGTGAAATGGACTAAACAAAGTCACTGATTCTTTTCGAAGGTTCAGCTACTAAATTAGGCCTTATACAATGCAAGGTGCTTAGAGAAATAAACCAGGCTTTCCTTAAGCACCGGTGCTTATTTCTATTGAGTAGACGCTTAATTAGGCGTCTCTCCTACAGAAATAGGCACTGGTGCTTCAAAAAAACCCGGTTTATTTTCCAAGCACCTCCGTAAGCACCTAGCATTGTACAAAGCCTTAGTGGACCTACCATTGAGTTCTATTCTTATTAAGAACATACCATCTGCTATCAGTAATGGCATGGCCTGTTGATTCAGAGAATTATCACAATGCAGCTACTTTGCACTTTCTTTTCCTATTTGAACAGTTTACTACAATGCAGACCCACACACAATGTCGTATATGATTATCATAATGCAGAAGAAGCAAAAAAAAAATATTTTGGGGGGGGGGGATGAAATGATAAGCTCTTTGCTACACTAATGTGGTGTGTTTTTCCTAATGAACGTTTACTGGATTGAGGCTCCAGAGTAAAGACAAATGGGTGTAGTATTATATAACTATATTTGGAGAGAGGAACTTCTATCGCTAGTTCATTGATAATGTTGTGCCAAATCCAGTAATGTACTTTCATTAATTTTAATGGTAGAGGAAACATGATGTATTTTGTAGTAAATCTATAAATTTATAGAGCTGTAAAAGACACTACCTCGTATCGAAAATATACGTCCTTTTAGAATTTTACTCACGTATTATTGGTAAAATGCCATATTACCATGGAAGCGGATTTGTAGCACAGCGACGTCACGGCGTCGTTTCCCTTCATGAAGGCGTCGTCTTGATTGCTTGTGGCATGCTCGGTACTGGGTTTCGAGATTGGTACATTGTTTCGGGTCTTTTCTCTGGCTGGGTAGTTTTGCGCTGTGTTGTAGCTTCCGTCTGGGCTGAGCATCCCACGCCTCTCTGCTCCGGGCATCATGTCTGCGCCATCTTGTGGTTGTGCCATGTGATGTCCCCTCTCTTTGTTCAACTTCTTCTATCAATGAAAAGATACACCAGCTTCTATCAATGAAAAGATATAGGCTGCTTCTTTTGAGCGTTCTCCTAGGATCACTGTATGGTGTTCATGTATTATGAGAATAAATTGAAATATTGATATTTTTGAATATCTCTTCTCTTGTTTCTAGGAGGACCATCCTTCGAGCTCTTACATGTCTGGTTGGCAAACGACTTGTCATCTTTCTTGAAGAATTGCTCTTCAGAAAACAGCAATGCTGAATTTCAAGAAGGTGCGAGCAGGCGGGCAGGTCTCGTTCCTAAGAACCAGTTTTGCTGATCCAGTTTTGAATCAATTACGACGGAACAGTGCTGGTTCAAAGCCAACAGCTCTGTAAGCTCCTGGAAACGAAATTTTCCTGGGTCCCGGTGGCAGCGGAATTATGTTAGGCCAGTTGGTGGTAGTGTATGTAGGGCATGGAACTGGATCTGTAAATTATGGTACGTCTGTAGTACTTGCCATTTTCGATGGGAATATGTATGCATCAGGCCATGTCTGAAATGGCTGCTTAGTTTGTAGTCTCTCTCTCTGCAACAGATGAACAAAACTCTGCCCGAGTTATCGAAGACTGTCTCTCAGTTATTCTATCGTGATATTATCTCTCAGAGATTTCTGCTCTAAGCTGTTTGCCGTCAGAGAAAAAGGTTTGGGGCATGTCTGATGGTAATGCTTAATGGGGGTATACATTCTGGGTTGAACTGTGTTACTCGGGAATGGCTAGAAATTAGTCAGTTGACTTTTTCGTCTCTGGTCACTTGATTTTCCAGCCATTGGATACGAAATCAAAGGCCCGCAGTTTATCTTCAACCTCCACCCTTGAGCTGCCAGCCCCTGTGGCCAACGGCACCGCTTCGCCCTCCTCGGAACCACT